GAGGGTTGTGGAAAGGGAGGTGTATGGGGGGATGTGGTAACTGGGTGATGGGAATTAAAGAGGGCATGTGATATGATGAGCACTGGGTGTTATATTCAACTAATGAATTGTTGTACACTAGATACCTAGGCTAATTGAATTTAAATAAAAATATTTAAAAATTAAAACATTTTAAATAAGTATGTAGTCAGATCAACTAAACTCTGTCTTTGAGTTTCTTCATCAGGGTTGTCATAAAGAGATCCTTTGTCAAATGTTTAGTGGTAGAGTATGTTATGTTGTCCCCAAATCCAGTCTTCCCTTTTAGTGAAAAATAAAACCAAAAACTAGATGTGTTTCTCAGCTGTGCAGGTGGAAGTGTGTATTACATGCCCAAGCCTCACCATAACAGTCTCCCATGAGTCACTGTCTATTAACCCTTTATTTTTGTTTGTTCTCCAATTACAAACAAAAGTCTGTGAAGCCCAGGGATGGTGTGGAGTCACAGGAAAAAGTTCCAACTCATTCGATCCCTAGAAGAAAGGTCTCCCAGTAACATCTGCATTAGCCTGTTATATGAATAAGATATCAGTGTGGACTATGCTAAGTCCCAAGGATCTCAGAGATTTTTCTGACTACTAGTATTATATTAACCAATATGAACAGACTTCATACCAAAAATATGTACTTAAAATATTTATAATTAATTTAAACCACTTAGAATTTATTTTTGTTCATGGTCTGAATCTAGAATTTAACATTAATTTCCATAAAACTTCAACTACCACTATTTGTGTACTAACTCTCTATCCCTCTAATTATAAAATAATGATAATATTGTATATAAATTTGCTTTTATTTATTTAGTACTATTTTTTAGCATGCTAAACTGCTGTTTAATCAGTTCACTCATTCCTCTAGCAAGTTTTAGCTGAGTGTATTTATATACCCGGCACAGTTTTAGGTATTTGTTATCAATGAACCAAACAGAAAAAGAAATCTTTGGTCTCATGAAGCTTATATTCCAGTGGTGTGAGACATACAAAAACAATTATCATAAAATACAAGTGAATCATATAATAAGTTAGTAATTGTATGGCAAAATCTGAAAAAAAATTATTGTACAATAATAAGAGGTTCTCTGACTAAAGCATGAGAATGAAGATAAGTTTTATTGAGAAGGTGACGGTAAATCTATGGCCAGACCACCCTGAACACGCCTGATCTTGTCTGATCTCAAAAGCTAAGCAGGGTTGGTCCTGGTTAGTACTTGGATGGGAGAAGGTGACAGTAAGCAAAAACCTCATGAAAGTGGTCTAGATAGTAGCTATGCACATGTGCTTATATGTGTATGGGGAGGTAGTGCTCTAAGCACAAGAAACATCTAGAAAAGAGTTTAAATGCAAATATTCACTAAATATTCAAGGAAAAATTGGAGGCCATTGCTGTTAGAACCCAGGAATATGAGAAAAGTGATAGAATATGAGATCAAAGGCATAACAGGGTCTTAGCATAAGTAATATGAACTAAATTGTAATGAAATACAGGGGAGGAGATCACTAATTTTACATAGGGGCCCTCAAGGAAATGTTTAAAAGAAAATGAGTTTTTCATGACCCATATAGGTAGATAATTGCATTAAATAATCTTTGTGGTCTGGAGAGATCTCTGGTTAGAATAATAAAAACTCAACTTTCTTTCTCTGTGCAAGTTGTTCTATCTGGATTTCTCCATGCTAAATGAGAAGTTGTCCTGGCTTTTTATACTGAGAACCACCTTTTAACATAAAACCTAGAGCAATCACATCAGGCTTTTTAGTGTCTTGTAGAGGTTGGCCTTAAAAATTAAACTTAGCACAATATTTGAGGGGATAAAATGTAATTAACTTACCATTGAGAGAAATTCTGGGTCAGAGGTAGGTTACTGTTTACGATGTAGGCCCAAGACTTCTGTGGACAGTAAACCTTTGGTCCTAAGTAGCAAACTTATGCTCTCAAGTAGCAGTTACTCTCAAGACCCACACAGAGCTGTAACTCATATATACTTAATCAACACTCCTCAATTCCAAAGTATGGTTTCATGGTAAGCCTGGAGCATCTCGACACTATTCTGAGAAATATCTAGGTGATAGTTAGACATGTGCTTCTCTTAGTTATAGAGTTCACCTATTGAAAAGATCATTTCACCATTTTCTTTAGTCAAAAAATATTTCTTGTATATCTACCATGTGCCTCCATCCTAGGTAGGGCCATGAACAAGGCAATTGCTCTGCTGAAAATCTTCTTGCAGTGAGAGAAGAATGGATTTGGTGGGAAACCAGCAATTCCTCCACTGATCTCGATAAGCTGAAACAGGATCTTGTTGCCAGAACTAAAGTAGAGCTGTATGAGCATGACTCAGCAGTCAGGCCAGAAGAGGGAACAACTTGGAGGACATACATTGCCACGCACTCAAGCAAAGGGATCAAATGCATATTTTAGCTATACAAAGAACATATTTTTGTTCCTTCAAGTTCATAATGACTTTGATAAAATATACTCTATAGAATATATTATATACACCAGTCATATAGTAGAAATGAGTCATTTTGGATCAGTAGTTGAGATTTTGATCTGCACAATTAATAGTTACTTTTGGGATTGAGATGAATAGCAGTACAAACTCTGGAATCAAAGTCTGGAATCAGGAACCTAGACCCCGATTCATTAGAAATATGACCTTGAGCAAGTCACTGAAACTCTCTAAGCTCTAAGTCTCTTGACTGTAAAATAGATATCATAATAATGATGGTGGTGGTGAAAATTAAGTTAGCATGTGCAAATGTAACATATGCTTTATTGTTGTTAACCTTCTCATGTTCTTATTCATAAAATGAAGGATGTGAAACAGATACATTTTCCTGCTCTGATATGATACAGTTTTCATTGTAGGGAATGATGCTACCTGTTTCACCTTTCACTGGAAAAGCCCAGTGGCACAGACCAAGGACTGCAGAACACAAGACTGACTTGTACAGACTGAGTGAAACCATCACCCAGTTGAGCATGATGCAAACCCAAAACAAATTGTGTTCTTGGATCCCAGGACGCATGCAAAATAACTTGAGTTTGGGGAAAAACCAAATTGTGCAAACCTACTATTAAAAACCAAAACTCAACAGTGTGGACTTTCCTCTAGAGGGTTAGTTGCCCCTGGGGTTCTTTGTAGGCAAAGCTTCTTAATTGGTTCTTCTTCTTCTTCTTCTTTTTTTTTTTTCTTTTTTCCTCTAAGGCAAAGATTTAAGGGAAACTTCTCTTGTGGACTTTCAGGTTCTCTTTTACCTGGTATACATTGCTTATCATCTCTCATGTAGCATTTTCTTTTCACTTCTGCATTCTTACTGGGAATATTTCTCGTCATTCTCAGGTTGGTATAAAAATATATCTATCCAGATCTGTCAGACTAAGTTTGCATCTCAGATTTTAACTTCTCTTATTTTCTTTAAAGGTTTTATTTATTTATTTGAGAGAGAGAGCAGGAGCGAGAAAAAGCTAGATAGCACAAACAAGGGGAGCAGCTGAGGGGGAGGGAGAAGCAGACTCCCTGCTGAGCAGGGAGCCCAAAGCAGGGCTGGATCCAAGGATCCTGGGATCATGACCCCAGCAGGAGGGAGTCGCCCAACTGTCTGAGCCATTCAGGTGCCCCTATCTTCTCTTATTGTTTATAATTACCATTAATTATTCTATACATGATATCTGTGTATGAAGGTGTCTATTTATGCACATGGAAATGACAGAGAAATGGGAAAGATGGAGGAAAGAGACAGAGAGATACAGAGAGAGAAAGATATTTTCTACAGAGATTTGATCATTTGATTATTACAAACTACTAATGGAAACTATAATTTCCAGGAGTGCATTTAGTAATAATTGTGCCCTGTGTATTTATTATGTGTGAATATGTAATGTCTTTTCATACTTATAATTAAACAATGAAATGAGTATTATTGTTACCGTTGCATCATATTAAGTCATAGAGAAATGAAAGACAAAGAAAACAAATATAAAACCAGTTCAAGTTCTTACATCATGGAGCCAGAATTCAACACAAGTCTAACAACAGAAACAGAATTCTTTAACGAGAATACTGAATATTTTCTCATGCCTGGTCTTGTGGGGAAAAAAATCTGTATTTACTGATATAATTTGAAATATGGAGTGATGCAATAGGGGAATCTCCATAACATAATAGTCAATAATATTTAGTAGATTATAATTATATGCTAAGAAGTCCACATCCAGAGAATATGTATAAATTAATGAATGTAGTTAAGTAGTTTACCCCTTTATACCTGGCTTTGATGACCAATGTGATCAGTTTGTGCTCTTTAAGTGGGTGGAAGCATGAGATTAGAATAAAAATAATATTTTCTCTAACACTTAGGGCTGGTAAATTATTTGATTAAGTGGCTTCCATCCCTAATCATGGAGAATATGCTTATAATGAAGAAGTGATGAGGTAAAATATTATTTTTGCATTGAGTTGAAGAGACAATTATGACCCTTCATAAATATCTTAAAATATGAAACCTCTAAACATGCCAATATTGGAAACAAGAGATGTTTAATAGTCTTGGAAGGGTGTGTGTGTGGCTCAGGTCCTGAACTCAGGGTCCTTGGATCAAGCACCACATAGGGCTGTGTTTAGTGGTGAATCTGCTTGAGATTCACTCTCTCTGTCTCGCCCTCCCTCTGCTCATGCTCTCTCTGAAATAAGTAAAAAAAAAAAAATTAAATATAAGTAGTCTTGGAAGTTTGACTAAACACAATATTTAGTAGCAGTATGTTTCAGTCACAATATTCATATAACTGTTATGTACTAGGGCATCTTAGTAACTTTCAGTCATAGATAGTGAATAAAGAAATATAAAAGAGGCATGAATAAAAATATAAATTAAGAAATAAACAACACTTGATTTTTAAATTTATTTCCTCCTAGTTATCCCAGAGATTTATAACAAATACTGACTTGGAGTTGAGAAAATGCTCAATTTCACTGATGTGACAGAGTTTATTCTTTTGGGACTAACCAGTCGTCAAGAATGGCAAGTCCTCTTCTTCATCATTTTTCTTATGGTCTATGTTGTCACTGTGGTAGGCAATATTGGCATGATCATGTTAATTAAGGTCAGTCCGCAGCTTAACAGCCCCATGTACTTTTTCCTCAGTCATTTGTCATTTGTGGATGTCTGGTTTTCTTCCAATGTGACCCCCAAAATGTTGGAAAATCTGTTATCAGAAACAAAAACTATTTCTTATGCCGGTTGTTTGGTACAGTGTTTCTTCTTCATTGCCCTCGTCCATGTAGAAGTTTTCATTCTTGCTGTGATGGCCTTTGATAGGTACATGGCAATTGGGAAACCTCTGCTGTATGGCAGCAAAATGTCTAGGGTGGTCTGTATGCGACTGATTTCTTTCCCTTACATATATGGCTTGCTGACTAGTCTGGCCGCAACCCTGTGGACATATGGCTTGTCCTTTTGTGGGAATATTGAGATCAACCACTTCTACTGTGCAGACCCACCTCTCATCAAAATGGCGTGTACAGGGACTTTTGTAAAAGAATACACAATGATCATACTTGCAGGCATTAATTTCACATATTCTCTGACTGTGGTGACCATTTCTTATCTGTTCATTCTCATTGCCATTCTACGGATGCACTCAGCGGAAGGGAGGCGAAAGGCCTTTTCCACCTGTGGCTCCCACTTGACAGCGGTCATCATATTTTATGGGACTCTCATATTCATGTATCTTAGACGTCCTACAGAGGAATCTGTGGAGCAGGGGAAAATGGTGGCTGTGTTTTACACCACAGTGATCCCCATGCTGAATCCCATGATCTACAGTCTGAGGAACAAAGATGTGAAAGAAGCCATGAAAAAAGTTATCAGCAGAACATGTTTAACAAAATAAAATACAATTTTGTTAATATTGTCTTGTGTGATTCATAAGAATTTGTCAATAGATTGTGGTTCAGCATATCAATAACTTTTACAAAAGCTAGATATTTTGTGCATTAATAATAAAAAAAGAGAAAGACTCAAACCCAGTGGAAAAAAAGGAGACAAATCAACCATATTGGTGTGAGTAGTAAGTATTAGTTAAAATTAAAAAAAATAATAATTGATTGAAAAGTTTGTTTGAGCCAAAATTTGCAGGTGCACTAATTGAAATTATTCAAATATTTAACTGAAATGAAATATTTTGTTTTTCTTATTAAAAAATGCAATGAATGATTATGGAAAATACTTATCAATTTGCCTATTTAGAGAGTAAATTGGAACAGTAAAAATAAGAACATATTTCATTTAGTTTTCTAGTATGTTAATATAAAAATGGTGGTCTCAGTAATGGTTGTGAGATTTTATGGAAACAAATACTTTTTCTTCAATATGAATGGCAGGTCTATTCAGAGACTACTACCTTGAAAAAAGCTATCCTCTTGTATGTCATCCCTTTTCAACATTTTTAGTATTCATGAGAGATTTGGCATGGTATGTAATTCTCTTACAGATTCCAGTAACTGCCATATTTAAATGCCACGGTGGCCATTGATCACTGACCTTCTCCCTTGTTCCTGCCAAAGGGTCTTCAGTTGGACAGAAGAGTGGGTAAAATCAGCAAATGGATGCATAATTTTGAAAGCACAGCTCTCTTGATCCCACTTAATAAATAAATTAAATTGGTATTCATGTGGAATATTTTTCACATCTGTGACTAAGATGTAGTAAATATTTTAAAATAATTTTTGTGTTTGAAAGACACAAAGTATTTAGGGTGGTGTATTTGTTGCTAATGATAACATGACCCACCACTCTCATACTTCATTTCATGAAATACAAGCATGAGAAACAACTTTAAAACTTGGACTTATTAAATTCTCTATATCAATACATACATCTATAATACATACATTAATAATCTGCTTTTTTGATGTAGAAAATACAAAAATACAGCAATGGAACCAACACACACTTAAATTACACATTTAAGTAATTACAAATTTATCTGGAAAGATATAAATATAAAATGACATTGATGCAATATGAGAATAAACATTCTTCTTTGTCCACTTTTGAGTTTTTATTTTCTTCAAGGGGAATCAACAATGTATATGAACTCACTTCCACACCCATACACACATGTCATCAGCAACTTTTTTTTTTATATTTCATTTATTTATTTGACAGAGAGAGAGAGAGAGAGATCACAAGTAGGCAGAGGGTGGGGTGAGGCAGGGAAGCAGACTCCATGATGAGCAGAGAGCCCGATGTGAGGCTCGATCCCAGGACCCTGAGATCATGACCTGAGCCTAAGGCAGAGGCTTAACCCACTGAGCCACCCAGGTGCCCCATCAGCAATGTTTTAAAGGTATTTGCGTTTAAACAAACTGGTAATTTAGATTAAATCACACTTTATCACTGTGCCTATAGTTGCAAAACTTAAACCCCTCCCAAAACTTTAAGATCTAACTCAATTTTACTTTTGGGGTTAGTTAAAAATAACTTTGTCAGGACAACTGTTTATTCACCAGTTGGATTTTGTTAGAGAACTCTCAATATGCCAGTTAGTTGCTGATTACTAATAAATTTCAAAGTATGATTTTAAAACATTTTAATATGTAGGTTGTTAACAGTCGGATTTGGATCTTTGCTATATCTCTCATTCTTTCACTGCCCCCCCACACCCAAAAAAATGAAAAGCTATCCCTATTTATTTTTTAGATATTTAGTTTAGTGCTCCATAAAGAATGAGAACAGCATGTTCTGGGTTTGAGTTTCCAAATTTCAAATTAATTTGTGGGTCTCCTTGTATAAATCATTTTTATTATTCATCCAGTTAATTTTTAGTTTCTAGTCACTGCTCTCCAAGGTCTCTCCAGAATCACAATTTCTATGAATCTAAGTTTTTAGTAGAACTTAAAGCAATTTTTCCATTTGTTGAGAATTTGAGATATTTTTGCAAAGTACTTTGAAAAATAAATCTTATTGTTACATTCATGTCTACATCTGTCACCTTCATTATATTTAAGCATCTCTAACATAAAGCACATTTATCTCTCCTTGTCATGATACAAACCAAGAATATTTTCCCAAGATGCATAACTGCTAAATGTGAATGAAAGAATGTAGGACTCATGTAAAGGTGGGAGAGATTACACCATGTTATCCAGAATTTTGATTTCTTAATTTTACTATAAGGGTTACCCTTCTCATTAACAGCCCTTAACTTCTCCTACCCCTGAGATGTTTCTGGAATTTTAATCATTATTCCTTTCATAATTACCTGGCTAGTTTCCTGGGGAGATATTCTCAATGCTCTCAGTGTTCAAAATTCTATTATAAATAGTGAACAATTATCATCTGATGTTCTCCTCTGATGAAGGTAGGTCTACAAATCGTGTACTCTATGCAAAACAGATTAATGCAGTCAAATCTTTTCATTTTGATCCATATTTTGAAGATGAGACTGAGACTTTATTTGTAGATTTATTTGTTATCACAGTGCTTTATATGATATTACTGAGAAATATTCTTTCCCTATCCATTCAAAACATCCTAAGAATGAGCTCATTATAATGCAGATTTATACAATTTAATCCTTGTCTGTTACCCTTTACACCGTTCTCTGCAAATACCATTGATTTTCACATTGTTGTTTTAAAATAGATGTGAATGAAGTTGAGGATATCCTATCAGTGCTAATGATTGGGCCAGTAATTATACCTTTACTGTTTTTCTTTATGGGAAGTTCCTGAAAGGTTAATAAAAAAATATACATATTTTTGTAAATTATACATTCTATCTTCTCAATTGTTTTGACAGATGATGCACTTATGCAATAAACTGACTCTATCCCAGAACTCACTGGGACATCTGATCCCAGATCTAAACTTCGAGGGGGAGGGAGAAGGAATGGTCAACTACCTCTGAAGTTCAGCCTGCTCAAGGGTCGTGCAAAGGACTAGTTCATCTAGGATGGACTGTTAAAAGGATACCTTTGTTATGTCTTGGAGGATAATCAAACTAAATTTTAAATGTAAAGAAATAGGATAATAGAATAAGTAATCAAAGAGGTGACAACATAAGGTCATTAAGGGTACAACACTGCAGTTAAATTAATTGGTTTGCATCCTAATCTTGTCAATTCATTGTTGTCTGGCCAGGGAGACCTAGTTAGTCTCAATGCTTTGGTTTCTTCATTGCAAAACGATGATGCTAATAGAATCTGTTTCATAGGACCTTTGCATGCTAAAGTTTCAGTGAGCACTCAGTAAAACTTAGCTATTCTTACTGATATTATGAAGCTGAGACTGTTGTCACTAGAAAAATCTGTCTTAGTTTTTGTGTGTTGGAATGTTGTAATATATTCTATAAAGCTGAACTGGAGATCACATCTTAAAAAATTCATAACTGTGAATATTTCTGAATATCAATTTACATGTAATATCTCAACTAGGCACCTTAAAGAGTTCCCAAGATGAATGAGACAAACTCTACTACCATAGAGCTAAAGATTATATGTAGAGGAAAATAAATACACACTCATACAGGAACTAAAACAAAATTGGAGAAATAGTTTGTTTCTTATATACCTTGAAAAAATATATTTATATCATTTTATGCTTAAAATAATAAATAGAACCATTAACCAAAGTCAACTCTGTGAATTGGAGAATCATGGGTTCATCAGGCAGGTCAGGAGTTTTTGCACAGGGAAATCCCTGACCTTAGATCTCTTCCCCAAACAAATCTGACTCAGTATTCCCATACTTGAAATGAACCAAAAGATGAGTTACAGTCATGGAAATCTATAGTAATGGGAAACTTAGATCAGAATTAAAACTTTGGTGCCTATTATGTTATGTACCCAATTAACAGCATATTTAATTCCATTATTAAATATCTTCAAGGTAAGAATATAGTTCATTGAGATTAGTTCACTCCTGAATTCATCCTGCTACTCATTACGGGTGGCCATGATACAATCACAGAGCCCATACTTTTTTTGTTTTTACACTATATAAAGTGATGTCTCTAGCAACACTCTTTTTCACCATGCCAAGCTAATATTTATCCTTCTGAGCTTTTCCATTCCATGCCATTCACCCTTCATATTTTTACACAGATTGCTGTTTCTCACCAGTTCAGAAGTCCCCTCCTCAGAGAAATCTTTAATCACTGTCTGCACCCTGCCTCCTCCTATTTCTTATCTTTCTAGCATGCTGTAGTTTTGTCACAGATGTCCACTTCCTAAAGTATCTCACTTGTACATTTGTGTATTGCTTGCTCTTTTCAACGATAATAGAGTATGATGCAAACCAGAATCTTGTATATCTTGTTCATTCTCAGATTTCCAGAATTTAGAATACTGCTAGATATAGGGGTACCTGGTTGGCTCAGTTGGTTAAGCATCTGAGGCTTGATTTTAGCTCAGGTCATGATCCTAGAGTTGTGGAATTGAGCCCTGTGTCAGACTCTGTGCTAGGCATAGAGCCGTTTGGGCTCTCACTCTGTCTCTTCTCCACCCCTCTCTCCCTCTCTTAAAAACACAAAACAAAAGAACTGTTGGTATAACAAATATATCTGCCATAATATTGGCTTTGATGTTTGTGAATCAATTAAGGTAAGCAATTATAAATCAAGGCCCATTTTCAAGAGTAATAGACCCTTCAAACACTATTATTATGGGGAGCTCAAATTTCCATCAGTTAATCCTACAGATGTCCTTAAGAACTTATGGAAAGTTTTTACTTCTTGAGAGAAGTAAGATAGAAAAGTGTAGTAAATGGGGAAAATATTGTTTGGGAACCTTTTCCTTGAGAGGATATTAAGTGTGAATATAAATAAGGATATATAAATAGCATTGATTGCATATGAAAATCAGTAGAATCTGAAATAACATGTCACCTAAACTTTACTTCATGATATTTACTGTTGACATAATTTTAGTAGTGCATGCAGCAATCAAATATGCATAATGTTTAGTCAAATAAAATAAAATATGATGTAGGAATTTCATATGTTGAAGGTATATGATAACATATGGTGAAAATATGTCAATAACTAGACTGCAACATCAATGTGTAAGTCCATAAGTTGGAGAGGATTTAGCCATTCCCTGACAATTTTTAGTCTGACTTGGATCATATTTGTGCCTTGAGATTTTAACATTAGTGTAATAATTAAGCAAATGTGAATGTCCAATTTTAGTAATATATGATAGCAATGTATGTAGTTATCTATTTTACTGATAAAGAACTAATAAATATTCATGGTATGTACCTACCTATAAGACCTATTAAGGGAAACAATGAAGCCTACCTATTCTAAACTTGGACATGGTGCATAATTGCATTGATTTTAAATTATTTCAATCAGAATAAGGATAAATGTGGCTCAAAAGTTTCAAGAATAAAACAGATTCATTCCTGTTTTTTATTTCTCTGTAGGTACTACAGACAGGCTCTATGTTAAGGCAATGCCAAATTTCACAGATGTGACAGAATTTATTCTTCTGGGCTTGACCAGCCGTCAGGAGTTTCAAGTTCTCTTTTTTGTGGTATTCCTTGTCGTTTACATGATCACTCTGTTAGGGAACATTGGCATGATCATTTTGATCAGCATCAGTCCTCAGCTTCAGAGCCCTATGTACTTTTTCTTGAGTCATTTGTCTTTGGTGGATGTGTGGTTCTCTTCCAATGTCACCCCTAAAATGCTGGAAAACTTATTATCAGAAGACAAAAACCATTTCCTATGTGGGGTGTTTGGTGCAGTGCTACTTTTTCATTGCCCTTGTGCACGTGGAAGTCTATATCTTGGCAGTGATGGCTTTCAATCGTTACATGGCCATCTGCAACCCTTTGCTTTATGGAAGTAAAATGTCCAGGACTGTCTGTGTTCGGCTTATCTCTGTGCCTTATGTCTATGGGTTCTCTGTTAGTTTAATATGTACACTATGGACATATGGCTTATACTTCTGTGGAAACTTTGAAATCAACCACTTCTATTGTGCAGACCCTCCTCTCATCAAGATTGCCTGAGGGGGAGTCCACATCAAAGAATACACGATGATTGTTATTGCTGGAATTAACTTCACATATTCTCTCTCTGTGGTTCTCATCTCCTACACCCTCATTGTAGTCGCTGTGCTACACATGCGCTCTGCCAATGGCAGGAGGAAGGCATTTTCCACATGTGGCTCCCACTTGACAGCTGTTACTATGTTTTATGGGACTCTCATATTCATGTATCTCAGACGTCCCACTGAGGAGTCTGTGGAGCAGGGGAAAATGGTGGCCGTGTTTTATACCACAGTGATCCCCATGCTGAATCCCATGATCTACAGTCTGAGGAACAAAGATGTGAAAGAGGCGGTCAACAAAGCAATTGCCAAGGCAAACAAGGGTCAATGAAACTTCATTAAATATTTTTGTGGTATGTTGCTACCTATTATGAATGTCCAGGCATAAAAGTCTTAATGCAACAAGGATTTTCTAAAGGCAACTCTTACATACAATAAAAGGTCCAATCTAACACATGATGCCTTACTCCAGAAGAGACTCCAACGGCTAAGACTGCTTTATTCTATATATACAACCTTATTATCAAAACTGACATATTAGTGTCATTCAGAGTGTACATAAAATTGTGTTAAGTGTAGTCATTGGAGGAATTCATAAATGACTCTATATAAATAAATATTAATTACAGATACCTTTGCTAGAGTTGAACATGAATTCCTAGGGTATTTCCCTATACACATGCTTCTCTACCTAGAAAAAGAGTAATAATTCATATATATTTCATGACCTTAGGTATGTTAATGGTTCCTGATTAACCAAAAAGTGTTCTATAACATTCATTCACACATGGACTTCTGAAAATGGAATTGTATTCAGAATCTTCAACCTGTGTCTCAGGACCATCATAAGTTCTATCCTCAGTATGTGTTGTTTGATAGTTAACAATGTCCCTGCTTCAGTAAGCTGTTTATTCTAACTCTACTCTTTAGTTTGGATTCTGGTAAAACTTTTTTTTTTTTTTTTTAAGATCTTATTTATTTGACAAAGGGAGAGAAGCCGGGTAGCAGCAGAGAGAGGGAGAGGGAGAAGTAGGCTCCTCACTGAACAGGAAACCTGATGTAGGGCTTGATCCCAGGATCCTGAGATCATCACCTGAGCTGAAGGCAGACGCTGAATGAGCATCCAGGTGTCCCTTGATTCTGGTATAACTCTTGATATAAGCTGATAAATACAGAACTGAAGAATATAATGTTAGTGAGAAGAAACTAGGATCCAGCAATAACGTCGGATCATATCAACCAAAGGTTTAATAGGACAAAGTCTGGCAGAGGTCAGATTTTATATATCAGAAAATTCATAGATTCATTTTTTAAATTATGCTGAGGACAGGAAACTCCTTTGTCATAAGTGTTCACCCTTTTAAGAGCAGGAAATTTATCTATTTATTCTTGTTACTTTCTATTTATTTATGAGCCTCTTTCTCATTTGTTGTGGTTGTCATCTAAAGTTCGGTTTTCAGATTCATTTAGAGAAAATTATGAATTAGTTTAAGAAAAATATGTAAGCAAATAGTAAGTGTGATATGTTAATGAGGAAGTGTGATATATTTCCAAGTGTGATATGCTAATGAGGAAAAACCATAAGGCATAATAATAATCTAAAAATCAGAAAACACAACTGATGACCACAATCCCACATACACACATTTGCCTGTCATATATCTATATCATCTATATCTATGTATATCTATATCTATAGATATAGATATTTAGTCATTGTGCATATATTATATAGTATAATGCATACAACAACTTCTTGGGGCTGCTCTCAGGTCCTACTTCCCTTGGGGTTTATATATATCCATTGTCTTAATTTTTTCAGAGTCCAATAATTTCTGCAATGTCCAAGACATTGCAAACCATTACATGGTTTGAGTGAGACAAAGTCCAATAGGTCTGCTGTGAAAGTTTCTCTTGTTATACCATCAGTTAATTTTAGTCATATAACATTCAAACAGCATTGGGGAGAACTCAGCTATCCAATGTGCTTCCCACATTGTTCAATGAACTGTAGTCTTAGGATAGAACCAGCTTTGAGTTTCTGAGCTTCATAAGCACCATGCACTCAGCACTTAAAAATGTTAAAACATCTTTTCATCTTTTTCTCACCACTCAGAGGTGGATTTGAGGAGCCAGAAATATTAGCCAATGTCATTTAGCTGGAAGTGGTAAAACTTAGGTATGAACTCAAGACCTTAAGATTCCAAGAACTACCTTCTATTTAACTCAGATGCTATGACTTGAATGTAGACAGATTTTGATTTCTGGTCATGCCTGTGTTTGAATCACAAGACACTTGAGATGAAAACAAGAATGACAGAGAGAATAAAAAGGAGAATGAGGGCGCCTGGGTGGCTCAGTGGGTTAAGCATCTACCTTCAGCTCAGGTCATGGTCTCAGGGTCCTGGGATAGAGGCCCACATCGGGCTCTCTGCTCAGCGGGGAGCCTGCTTCCTCCTCTCTCTCTGCTTACCTCTCTGCGGACTTGTGATCTCTCTCTGTCAAATAAATAAATGAAATCTTAGAAAACATATATATAAAAAAAAAAGGAAAATCAGCTCATGGTAAGAAAGAACTCATATATAACCCTGACACATACCACTAGTATGGCTTCATTTGATAATGAACTTCATTTTGTTTTTTTCTTCACTGTTAATTGTTTGTCATTTCATTATTGAATGAAAAAACGTATTGCCTGCATCATTAGATCCATTCTAACACCTACCATAGTACATAGGTCATAAGAGCTTAGCCTTATAGTTGCAGACTGATTTATTTAGAATCCACCTTCTGCTTGTCTTATTGTTGGAGGAGGTCATTGAGAGGACACGACTGCCAGTTGACCCTCAAGCTGGACCAGGGCAACTGGGAGCTCTTTACTCCTTCCCCTGTCTTTGGAATGTTCTCCCACAGTAGGAGCCATTTTTGAGGATAAAGCCTTGGAGAGCAAAGTGTTGTTGAAGACCATCTGCACGTATATGTGACTGAACCCTGTGAAAGCCTCCATATAAACTTTTAAGATTCTGGCAGGAACCTGTGGAGATTTACTTGTCTTGTGGCCACCTAAGACCAGCCTCACATGTAAGTTTCCTTCCTTATGAGATGGCACCTATCAATCTGGAGGGCTCTACCTCTTCCTTTGGTCTATCTTTGTCCTTACATGAAGAAGCCAGTTTCAAATTTCACTGAGGAAACTCCCAAGGTTAGAAATTAACACTTACTAAAAAAAGGTTGTTGCACTTGAAAGCCACAGAAACCATTCAAAGTATCTTAATAAAAATAAGCAAGAAGCAAGTGTGTTTTTGTCTTAGTTTCTGTTTTTAAGTAAAATTATAGTGCTATTTTACAAAACTCAGGGGTAGGGACCATAACTAGGTTTTACAAGAAACTAGTAGTTGGGTGATTTGGATTTCTTATTTTTCTTTCTCTACAGATCAGCATTCTGTTTTTTAGTGCACAGGGAAGTCTTAAATGAAAACCTCAGCTCCAGAATTCACTTAATTTAAGATTAAATGATCAGCTGAGACTCACTGGAATTACAAGATTACAATGACAAATTCCCTTGAAAGACATCTGATTGGCTTATTCTCAGTTATGTAATCACCTCAATGTACTGTGCTTTTAGGGGTAGGACTCCTAGTACAATGACAATGTCCCCTTCCACATCTGTGAGGAAGGAGAATCTCAGAGGGGACAGTAACTTTGTAAACAGGAATGCCGTCTACACTGTGTTCCTTTTGTCTCCTTAGCCATTCATTCACTCCACCCCTGTACTACCATTCAGAGTAGTTACAGGGGTTGAATTAGACCCTAAGTGGGACACATTGTAGAAGATAAATTCATCAAACCCTATCCTGGGAATTGATCTTGCCAGACTGAAAAACCTAAACCCTGTGCCTGAGCCAAAGCCAGGCATGTCATAATATACTGGCAGAATAACAAAGCAGAAGGGGTATTTGTACTGTAGGTATTTGTACTGTATTTGTACTGAACGCTGGTGGACTTCACCCAAAAGAATCAGGACTGAGAATTTATTTATTTGTTTATTTATTTATTTTTAAATTTTATTTATTTATTTGACAGACAGAGATCACAAGTAGGCAGAGAGGCAGGCAGAGACAGAGGAGAAAGCAGTCTCCCTGCCGAGCGAGAGCCCGATTGAGGGCTCGATCCCAGGACGCTGGGATTATGACCTGAGCCCAGGGAAGAGGTTTTAATCCACTGAGCCACCCAGGCGTCCCTATTTATTTATTTATTAATGGGCTTTCAATACCTGTTTTCCACACTAGTACTGCCTTATCCCACATATTCCCCTTTCTCCTTGGGGCCTGATACAATGCTTCCCTTGAAAAACTTCTGGAGGCACTTGTGGCTAGTAGCTCATGCTATTGGAATTCTTGCCTTGGTGGCACATTAATTGCCTTAATAACCCTTTTCTGACCCTTTAATTTTCTCAGAGTGTTACTATCTCCTATCAAAACTAGAAGTTTGTTTTTGTAATTATTTGGTTGATATTTGCCTTCTCTATCAGAGTTCAGCCCTATCAGGTAGGAATGTGTCTGCTTTGGCTCACAATATCAAGCACACAGTGGACACTGAATATTTGAATTTATGAGTGAAAAAAATTAATTTATTACATTACGGTCGAAGGTTTAAGTGGATTTGGATTTTTTTCCTTATAATCACTTCAACATAGAGCTATATTCTTGGAATGTGACAGCAATCATAATTACCATATTTTTTTCTTTTTTTTAAATTAATTAATTTTTTTTAAATAAACATATAACGTGTTTTTATCCCCAGAGGTACAGGTCTGTGAATTGCCAGGTTTACACATTTCACAGCACTCATCATAATAACTACCCTCCCCAATGTCCATATCCCCACCATCCTCTCCCGTCCCTCCTCCCCCCAGCAACCCTCAGTCTGTTTTTTGAGATTGAGTCTTTTATGGTTTGTCTCCCTCCCAATCACATCTTCTTTCATTTTTTCTTTTCCCACCCCCCAACCCCACCACACTGCATACCATATATTTTTAACTACATCTGGCCTGTCCCCCAATCCTTGGTAAAGTCCCCATATCCCCCAAAAATATCCCCATATTCCAAAGAAACTTTGGAAAGCACAGCTTTGCTTAGGGAATTTAGGGATAGGTATACATTTTTGCTTTGATAGGGTAGTAAAGGGGAGTAGAGCTTTCTAAAAGGTAATCATGATTCTCAAATCTGCATAATGGAAAATGACATCTTTTCAAAGGACATGATAATTGTATAATACCAGAGAGTGACCAGCAATGTATCTAGTGGTGTTTAGAGGGAGAGTGAGGACTGG